CACCCAATGCATCCGCCACTGTGCTCTCCCCCCAGCCCCCATGCTACGCAAGTTCGTCCAATGGCTCCTAATGGAAAAAGGTGCTGTTCAGTTACATGAGATAGGTTAGCCTCTTCCAATAGACTCTACCTTTTAGATCGCACATACAAACTCTTCACTTGCAACATCTGGAAGAAAAAAAAAAGAAAATCTGTGAAATTGACTAACCTAGAATATATTTAATTGGGCCTTTGCACAGAAGATATGTGTCCTATTCTCCAGTTTCTTTGTAAAGATAATCTTTTCGAACAAAAGTAATTTGTTTTTAGTTTATCCAAACAGGATGTATTCAGTGGCCTCACATATATTTAAAAAAGAGATTTGTTACTAAAATGAAGTAATGCTGCTTATCATCATTTTACAACACATTCTAAATCATTTACACCCGTCATTGCGAACTGCCTGAATTCACCTAGCTACAGACAATTTGTTAAAAACTTGCAGTAATTTGAGAAGAAAGAAAATAATAACCAGGTCATTGAGTATTTTATTTAGCACATCTGACTCGTGAATAAGAAGATTCAGTCACCACAACCTCTTTTTACAATGCTGTATGTGTCAAATCTTTAATTGACCCATTAACGTTCAGTGCAAATAATTCCTGTGTGACACATTAATCGACGGTCACATTCCATTGAGACTTCATGAAATTGGAAGGCAATAAGAGGCTGCCAATTGCTTAGAGAAGGGTATTATCAGTACATAAAGAAGATATATATGTGTACTCCCAAAGCCAAACAGAAGCAAATATTCATGGATATTCCAGGGCATTTTGTTATCCCCTGGTTCTACATGGTTTTTATTTCTTTTGGCAATGCGTTGAATTTGGTTGAGTTTATTACATTGTTTATGGATCAATGCCACATCTCTGTAATATTTTTATTACTGTGACAGTCTTAAATTGGACTCTTCTACAATCTGAATTCTACAGCTATTACGGCTAAATACAGCTATTCATAATCCATCATTAAAGGATCACTATAGGGTCAGGAACACAAACATGTATTCCTGACCCTATAGTGTTAACACCACCATCTAACCTACCCCTCCCCTCCCTGATTTTGCTGCAAAAAAAAAGTATGCTTGTATTTACATTTTCCACTCCCCCATCCATTGATGAGATGTAGCTGGTTTTGAACAATGCATGGCATCTCATGGGGTTAAATGGGTACAGCCTAACACGGGGCTAACGTCACCAGCCATCACTAACCTCTGCACTGGAGTTCAATTGGTTATTGTAAAATGCTTGACCAGCATTTAAGAAATGGTTTGAGAATGTTTAACATTCACAATAACCAAGTTGTGATGTTCCCCATGGTGAGTTTAGCAGCTCCGCAGTTCTGAAACTGTTAATAGTGGATGCTCTAAAAAGTTAATCTAATGGAGCACTTGGTTATCCAACCCAAATCTTATTTTTAATGTTTTCTTTGCAAATGATACATATTGGTATATGACCACTTGCTCAATTTTTTTTTTTTTTTTTAAATGGAGGTTTCAAAGCACCTTATTATATTTAGATGCATTTATGTTACTTACTTAAGCTTTGATTTGTGCTGAATACACCTCTAGCAGTCTAAAGTGTAATAGAATTACAGTCTAAGGTGTAATAGAATAGAATTTACAGAACCAAAACTGATATATTTTCATAAATTTGTAAAAAAAAAAAAAAATGTGTGGTGTATCTGCTTTGGTGAAATGACTGTGAATGCTTAGAAATGTCCTATAGTAAAGGGTATATAAGAAATACACTTGTATATATGTACAGTAAAATATATTGTACTGTTTATCTAATTATTTGATATTATTATTTGATTTGGTATGGGGCAGTGTGTGGGGGGGCATGTGTGTGTGTGGAGGGGTGTGGGGGGGGTTGTTGTGTGGTGTGGGGTCTGTGGGGGCTGAGGGGGTGGTAGGACAAATTTATGAATATATAAAAAAAAAATAATAATAATACTTTTTATATCCGCCCTCCCAGCTTACCTTTGCCTAGAAGGGGGGACAGTGCAAGGCAATCCTTGGTGGTCTGATGGGGAAGCCCTGGCAGTCCTAATGGTGACAGTGAGCTCTAGCAGCCTCAGGAGCTGCTAGAGTTCAGTCTCACGAGATTCGGACCGCTGTCGTGGTAACCGCGGCAACGCTCAGAGCTCGCGAGAGAAGAACCCAGTGGAGCTGCAGGTTAGAGCTCCCCGGGTCCTCTCTCAATTCTTCCCCTGTCGGCTGCCAGCATTACACTGCTAGCAGGCCGAGAAGGAAGATCTCCCTGGTGATCAAAGCACCAGAAAAATATCTTGCGGCTCACAGTTTGGGAACCGCTAGTTTAGCCCCTAGCTTTCATATAGATACAGCATCAGGATCAATGAGCATCACGGTAGTTGCAGATCTGCTTGAGCTAGAGAAATCCATCATTTGGCAATCTCTTTTTAGTATGATAATGTCATGAAATAAACCTCCACAGAGGTTTAGGGGCTTAGCAGAGAGGCAAGTTTATTTTTCAAGTAGGGCCATCAGATAGAGCCATTAGACCCCTATATTTATTGACCTACCAAACCCCACACACCTGCCAGGCATGGGTGTAGATGTAAGGTGGGACCACAGTCTCCATCCTACCGCTAAAAGAATGGAGGAATAATGTTACTCAATTGCTCATAGGCTACTTGAATGTTAAATTGTTAAAGGGACACTATAAGCATCCAGACCACTTAATCTCAATGAAGTGGTCTGGGTGCAGTGTCCCTGTTCCCTTAAACCTACAATGTATATTGAATTTATATTGCACGCTTAAGACAACTTCCTGCACTTCCTGGAATTTCATGGAAATCAAATTGGACATCCTCCCACTTTGCATGAGGACATCCAGCGTTTTAAAAATTCTCATAGGAAAGCATTGATTCAAAGCTTTCCTATGAGTGAGGTCTAATGTGCATGCAGCGCTGCTGCATGCAGCGCTCCCCCATCAGTGTGACTTCGCTAGAGGAGGAGATTGATTCAACATCAAGGGCAGGTTCTCAGCCTATCTATTTCATTCATAGAATCATGGGAGTTGTAGTTCAGCAACATCTGGAGGGCCGGAGTTTGGGGAAGCCTGATCAAGGGAATATGGTGCTTGAAACAAGTAAGTGAAAAAAGGGGTTTTAACTCTGTAATTACCAGGTAGGGGGTGAGGGGTGGACGCAGAGGCAGAGAGACACTATAGCATTAGGAATACATTAGTTACGCGACCCCCGGCTCATTTACCTGGGTTTCCACAGCACATGTGTTTGTGCCTATATTTTCTCCTGATACAGACTTAGGGATTTGGATAGGCTGCCATGAAGCAGCAGTTAGTTTTGCCGTTTCTTTTAGGATAGTTAGTTTTTTAGGGTGACTCAGAGGGGGGGGGGGTTCTATCTTTCCTCTCTTTGTGGGGTATTAGCTCCTTTTCTTTTTAGTATAAGCTACTTGATATTAGTTTGGGCGCACCCCATTAGTTGCTATTAACCCTGCCCTTTCCAGATTCTCTCAGACACTGCTCTAAGACTATCCTTTTTCTATCCAATTACCCAGCTGGGTCCTTTCCTAGAATGGATTTAGACTAACCTGCTTTGTTACCCATTTACTATTTTAGGTGTATCTTTACACCTCTATTAAGTCAAACATACCTTGCAGGATTAGCCTCTCCCAGGCTTTTATAAGTTTGGTGGTTAACTTAGCTGATGCTATTATACTCAATTGACTTTCTTTACTCTCATCTTTCATTTACCTGGGTTTCCACAGCGCATGAGTTTGCGCCTATACTTTCTCCTGATACAGACTTAGGGATTTGGATAGGCTGCCACAAAGCAGCAGTTAGTTTCGCTTTTTCTCTTAGGATAGTTAGTTTTTTTTTTGGGTGACTCAAGGGGGGGGGGAGGGGGTCTATCTTTCCTCTCTTTATGGGGTATTAGCTCCTTTTCTCTTTAGTATAAGCTACTCGATATTAGTTTGGGCGCGCCCCATTAGTTGCTATTAACCCTGCCCTTTCCAGATTCTCTAAGACACAGCTCTAAGACTATCCTTTTTCTATCCAATTACCCAGCTGGGTCCTTTCCTAGAATGGATTTAGACCAGGGGTTCTCAACCCAGTCCTCACGACCCCCTACCAGTCCAGGATTTGGGGATTACCTGGGTGTTTCTCAGGTGTTTAGAAAAAGGGAAAAAAACACCTTAGACTCAAAGGTGTTTTTTTTTTTTTTTCTAAAAACCTTAGACACACCCAGGTAATCCCTAAACCCTGAACTGGTAGGGGGTCCTGAGGACTAACGTTGAGAACCCCTGATTTAGACTAACCTGCTTTGTTACCCATTTATTATTTTAGGTGTATTTTTACACCTTTATTAAGTTAAACATACCTTGCAGGATTAGCTTCTCCCAGGCTTTTACAAATTTGGTGGTTAACTTATAATCAATACACTATTTTAGTGTATGGTAATAGTATTTGGACTATATACCATTTTAGCATTTGTTTCTAATAAAGGTTGTTTATCCTCTTCAATGTGACTATTTGCATTATGAGGTACTTTGAATGAGGCTAGGCATTCCACCCACTTTTTTGGGAGTGGACTGTCTGCCCCATTTTTCGTCTTTTTTTTTTCTTTTTTCTAATACAGTTTATAACATCATGTGGGTGCTAGTGGAGGACTAGATCCTACTAACTGTTATATAACTGTCATGCTTATGAATGTATATACAGTTTAAGGCTACCTGAGGAACCACTTAGTGGAACAAGATAGCGGTTACTCTATTTTGCACTAGCATTGTTCACATATTCAGTGAGGAAAGGCTTTTTTTTCCACAGAGAAAATGTTTACATCAAATGAGACAGATTTTGTACTTTGTGAAGTCTGCCTTGGAACAATAGGCTTGGGGTATTTTTCTAGCGGACATAGCCCATAAAGCTAACAAAACTGTTTACTTTTTAGACAAATTAGCCCTTAGTGGTAGAAGACATTTTCGTGAAATCGTATTCCTATAGCATTGGTTGCAATGCCCAAATACAAAATGAACAGACCATTTCACGTAATTGCGGAGTGTTCAAAACTGTCTCATGCGTTACAAACTCATACTAAATAACATCCTCATTTGTATCCATCACCAGTGTTCTATCATGTTTTGTCAAATCTCTTTTGGTTGTTTTCTGCTGAACTTCATTTGACCAGCTTATTCAACCACTCGCTTCAGATCTTGACTTTGAAAGGTCAGGCAGTTTTGAATGTGCTCTGTACGAATAAGCATTGTGTCAAAGTGTGATTACTTACAAGATGTATAGGGAAAATAGGAAACAGCCTTGTGTACAATGTCTCATTCAAGCTGGAGTCATTGGGGGGAAAAAAAACTTGTGCAATGAAATTAGGCTGCCGTCTATGGAAATTGGTTTTGTTACAAACTCGCGTCTTATAATAGTATTCTTGTTGCTGGAAACGTATGATAAGTTTGATTGTCTTGTGCCTTTTCGAAAAACAATAAAAATACTATGAATTGCATTTCTCATTAACAGATTCTTTCTCCTACCCTTTTCTGATGAAATACATATAACCTACTTTATTATTTGTCTACAAAAGTAGTTATAAAAAATACCCACTAACATCACAAGATAAGGAAATAAAACATATTTTGTTTTGAGGACATAATTGTAATAAAAGAAGAAAAGTCTTATTTGTTTGATTTTGCTCTAAGACACTTTCCATAGCTGATGACTTTAGTTCAGTTCAACTCCCTAGCTAGACACTGAAAGGTGTATTAAAGGCATCATAACCTAGCTTACTCAAATTAAAGAATATTGATCAGGAATCCATTGACGCAGTTCTAATATTTACATATTGATCCCCTTAAATATTTCCTACTAGTGCCAATGCTTTGTTGTTTAGGAGGACAGCTGTGTCTAGGTCCCCATGTTAGCACCGTAAGCAATACTTTTTTGGTTACTTTGTTTCTCCCTTGAATCTGAATGTTTTAAACTTTCACTTGTATTTAATTTCCCTAAGGGAGAGGTGGTTAGTGACTCACACAGTAAACGATGCTCACCCAAACTAGACATTCCATTCTAGTCACTATATTGCATCCGTACTATACCTATAGTCTCATATGAAATGATTCATTCTATTTGTCATTTTTCACCTCATATGCCATATGTAATCCCTTTTGTCTAAATCACGATGGAACTACCACATGCAGTTTGGTGGGCCCTTTGGGTAACGCTACCCAGGGCATTAGAGCCCATTTTCTGGTTATAATGCATGAAAAGAGGAGGCATTTAAAATGTGCATTTTCTTTATTTATATGTGTGTACAAGTGTGTGTGCTTCTGTATGTGTATAATTTAATATATACGTCTGCCACTGTGTGTATTTGTTTGTGTCGTTCTATACCCATGTGTGTTATTGTGTATCTCTGTTTTTGTGGCACTTTGTGTGACAATGTTTGTTTATCTGTGTATTACACTGTGTATAAATTTGTGAATGTTCATCTTAGTGTGATCTGTGCACTTGACAGTATGTGTTTATATGTATATACACCAACAATACGCACCTATATATTTTATGATAAAATTACACATAAGTATACATGATGTTACAGGGGACTGTGGGAGCTGAAGATCTTTATTCCCAGCCCCTAATCTCTACAGGGGGACGGGAAGGCCGATGCAAGGATTTTTGCCAACCTAGGCAAAAAAAATAAAAATTGCCTCCCCATATGCTACAGGCTTGAATGTATGTTGGGACAGAGACACTATAGTATTCTGAATACAGTGTTCCTTTAAAAACATAGATTATTTTTTTTTTATTAAAATGGTCTTTTCTGTCCAAATGCAGTCACTGATACACACATACACACACTTGCGCACACACTCATTCACTCACACTCAATGGTCGACACAATCACAATCAGTGACCAATGCACACACAAATTCACCAACTCATGCAGAGTGACAGACACACACTGACTCAAGCAGACATACACTGACTCATGTAGACTGACACACAAACACTGGCCAGGCAGACACACGCAGACACACACACACACACACACTGACCCAAGCAGACTCACACACAATGACCCAAGCAGACGCACACACATACATGCACACTGACTCAAGCAGATACACACACTGACTCAAGCAGACACACACACACACACACACTGACTCAATCAGATATACACACACGCACACACATACTAACCCAAGCAGACTCACACACAATGACCCAAGCAGACGCACACATGTACATGCACACTGACCCAAGCACACACACACTGACAAAAGCAGACACACACACACTGACTCAGACACAATGTGGGCGTTGTAAAACAGTTGAGGATCAATCTTTTGGCCACACATGCTTTTTAGGGGGCCCCATAAAATGGATTGGACCAGGAACCTCTCTTCATATTCACCCATAACCATCTATATCTTACATATGTGTAATGTCCGTGTGACTGCATGTGAGTTTATATTTATTTAACCAGTTCAAATGAGTTTTTGTATGCATTGCTAGTTCCATGTGAATGTTTGTGTGTGGCACCAGTATAAGAGGAAGTGAACATTTTTATATGTTAGTGCTTCTGCATGTATTGTGTTGTGAATACTTGTTTAGCTCTGCAATTATCACATTTGTTGTTTTTTTCTGTGTACATTTTTGCAATGTCACTGAGTGCATTTGAGTGTTTCTGAATGTCCATTGCCACTGTACATATGTTTTTCTGTTTGTGCACGGTCAGTGTGAGTACATGAGAGTGTTTAGGTGCATGCACATTAGTTTAAATATATGCATGTGTTTCTATGTATGCATTGTCAGTGTGAGTGACTGCATTCTGTGTGTAAGTGCATCATGTTTTTGTGTACAGTGTCACTGTGGATGCATATAATTTTTTGTGTGTGCAGTGTCAGCATACATGGCTGTGTGGTTATGTGCAAAGTGTTAGTGTGAATGCACATCAGAGATTGTACATACATCAGTGTGAGTGCATGATCATATATCGGAGTATGAATACTCTGCTTTGTTTTCAACATTAAAGGATCACTATAGTGTCAGGAAAACAAACTCGTTTTTCTGACACTATATAATCCTTGGGGGACCCTCATCCTCAGGGTCCCCCTCCCGCTAGGATGAAGGGGTTAAAACCCCTTCAGTAGCTTACCTTTATCAGCCGCCAGGCTTTCTCGGCACTGGTGACCTCTCCTCCCCCGCCGATGTCAGCTCCCAAGTGGAGCAGAATGCGCATGTGCGGCAAGAGCTGCACGCACATTCTAACAGTCCATAGGAAAGCATTTCTCAATGTTTTCCTAAGGACATTCTGCACGCTGGATGCGAATTTCACATCCATCGTCGAAGAAACGCCTCTAGCGGCTGTCAGGATGACAGCCACTAGAGGGTGGATTAATCCTGCTATGTAAACATAGCAGTTTCTCTGAAACTGCTATGTTTACATCTGAAGGGTTAAAACCTGAGGGACATTGCACCCAGACCACTTCATTGAGCCGAAGTGGTCTGGGTGACTATAGAGTCCCTTTAACATATCATCATACAAGCTACTACTAGTAATTCATAATGATCAACACATGTAAACAATTATTGATTTATGTAATTGTATATTTTTATAATCCATTTTCGCTGTTATATTTCACTGCAAGTGTGAACTTTTTTCGAGTTGGGGACCATTGCTGGACCCTTTTGCAGTCAACAGTTTCATATACACAATACATTGTCTGTTCTTAGACAACTTATTTTAATAATATTAAAAAGCAGTTCTGTGTCAATATAAAATAATCTTATTAATGATTTAAAAAAAAAAAACATGGCATATAAAAGGTACTCTATTTTAGCTAGCAAACATTTCCCACAATTCCCTGTAATCAATATGGCTGACAGCTTTTACCACCAAATACAAACGCTAAACTTTGGGAAGGATAATATCAGTTCACAGAAACTTCCTGAAGCAAATGAAAAAAATAAACAATGTTTTGATGTGTTTATGTTTGAATAAATATGTAATACAAACAAGTACTTTCTTGTCCTATTTTTATTGCTCATAACAAACAATATGTCTAGCATTACATACCCTACAGCTGAATGTAAACAATGTAAAGAAAATAGACACTGCACACACACACTGCATACACTAATACAACACACACACTGCATACACTAACACAACACACACACACTGCATACACTAACACAACACACACTGAATACACTAACAAAACACACATTGCATACACTAACACAACACACACACACACACACTGCATACACTAACACAACACACACTGCATACACTAACACAGCACATACTGCATACACTAACAAAACACACACTGCATACACTAACACACACACTGCATACACTAACATAACACACACACACTCTGCATACACGAACAAAACACACACT